AGCTTAGTAAGCATTTAAATAAACGAGTAGGAAATCTTCGTACATGATTATCCCTACATCACGATTCTACAAAAGATGAATTTGGTATTAGGAATATCTAAAATTTTCGTAACACATTCTACTAAATTCCCGACCTGACATATAAGCTTCAACAGATATATGGCCTGTCCAAGAATTAAGATCGAAGGGTGAGGGGATAACGACGATTAAACATGTTTCCAGCATCACAATAGGACTGAACACATACCCACACCACATACGCATGCACATGCACACATACATACAACCCCAACAAGGACCCACACATGCATGTGCACGTCTACCCACCCAAGCAACCAAATACACTCACATTACATACATATAAAAGAATAACTTTGCAGCATGTGTTATATGTAGGGCATGAATGAGTAATACTGGCTTCTGCAACTTGACTTTTGGGTGGTCCTCGTATAACAATATGTAATATACAAGCCAATGATTACAACCATAATATAAAGCAACAAACAAAATCCACTTTGCTGAACATTAAATTGGGTATCATGCACACACATGTAATATGAAAATTTTCGGCTTCGAGTTAGTGAACAATGATGCTAGCAAGTGGCAAAGCTACTTTATGTTCCATAGAATTAGCCATACATTTCAGCTCTTATGAAGTCAGAATCATCTCTAATGGATCTTGAGAGAACAATCACAGAAGGTCTCAGAATTTATTGAAGGCTTAGATTTCAGCATGAAATTAAGATTCAAGGCCAGATGACAATCCTGCTAGCATTCAAGTACTAAAACATAGCCAACAATTCACTTGGCATCTGAGGGGTGTATGAGATTGCGCAATCCTTTCAATTTCTCTGCATAAATCATCTCACAGGGAAGGTACTGTAGAAAGTGGGCAAGATAGATTCAAACGTAAACACAAATGTACCTGTGACAGTGAGGACACTAAGCCACCAACCGCACTGATGGCAAGAACCTCAAGCTCAGTCGAAAAGAAGAAAGGAGGAAGTTGAAGTATTGAGTGATGAAGATGTTGTACAGATTGCTGAATCTGATTATGAAAGTACTCTCATATGCGTGCTCGACCTAAAGTGAAGAGTTTAAAGGTGCATATGCATCTTTTTTATGCCCTCTTTGGGTATTAATGCATTGTTGTCCAGGAAAAAGAAAAAGGGTTTGTAAGTATACTTGCAAGTACACCTGCTAAGCAAAAAGATCCAACAAGAAGCAGATTGGTTCTTGAAACTGAAGGTTGCATCAACTCTGAGAAAGGGAGGCGGAGGAGGGGAGGAGAGGGGAATGGGAGAGGAGGAGGAGGACGACGAGGAGAGGGAGAGGGAGGGAATGCATTTTTTTGATAATTTTGGGCATAGATTTAATAATTTTGAGAGGTTAGGGGGGTAGAATAAATTTTCCTGCCAAAATTTCAAGGAAAATGGTCTTATTGACTAAAAGGCCGAGAATAAATGTCTTGTTGTCGCCGGAGTTTTTAAAAATACCAAACTGGCAAACAGGTTCAAATAAAAATACCAATTTGGTATTTTAGCCGATATTTATAACTTCCATCACTTTTATGAAAGGAATTCCATCACTTCATGTCTGACTTCACAAATACTTGCTTTAGCAATTAATCCTAATGCACTGGACTCTAAATTCCACAACCTTTACAAGTTTTATCATTCTTCGTAAGAAACTCTTCTTTGAGACCTTCAATAGATCTGTACACTTCCTCATTTGGAATCCTATATTACTCATTGTATTCAGTTGCAATAGCTACATTGCATGATAGTTTGCTTTCCTTCGTTCGTCGTCAAGAGGTTTCAGATAATACATTACAATACCAACAATCGATATCAGAATTGAGGGTTGTCGGATCACAGATTCTCTTAAACATACAAGATGATTGACGATTTTTCTCTAGAGAAGTTTGGGGTTTTAAGTTATACCAAACAAGACTGCAACACAAAAGTTTGAAGTGAAGCTCAACGATGAAGTAAACTTTTCTTTATGGCAGAAAAGAGTGGAGAAGTTTCTAACCAAAGAGGGTGTAATCAAGGTTTTGAAAGGCAAAAAGAAGAATCTTGGGATATATCATATATTGACAACAAATTCCTATAAAAAAGGTCGTGACATCCTTAAACAGTACCCAAACATAATAAGCAGCATATGACCTAAGGCAAAGGCTGTGAAGATAGAACAAGGAGAGCTAGACACCCAAGAGAGTAGAGGGTTGAAGGTTGTGACTATATCTTGTTCAAATAAAGGTGGAGATTATTGATTTTGACTTGCATTCGAACAACTGAAGTCTGCAAACTGAAACTTGACCTTGACAAAAATACATATTACAATTGGAGTTGGAGAAATCCAATTGAAAGAGGATTAAAATATAATAATTCTAGCAAAGACTATGAAAAAGAATCATGAAAACTCAAAAAGGAGGGGGGGAAATCTCTACATAGCCCAGGAGAAATTCATTACAAACCTATCGAGATGAAAAAAGAAAATGCTTCAAAGGTAAATTACGTTGAGCAATTATTCTTGTGAGAAATTTCTAAAGAGAAGAAATTTTGTGATCTTCTTCAAGGAATAAATATTACCCCTCTCTCACATTGACGTAAGCAAATTGCCGAACCACATTAAATCTTCTTATTTGCATGATTGTAGGTTCTCTTTGTTCACCATAAAGGTGTTTAAACTGCAACGAAATGGTTAGATTAATTTGTATGTACAAAACTCCATTAGTGCTTATTTGATGCATACTTTAAGAATCAGCTATAATGTAGTTCTAATCTTTCAATTGATTGGCCAAACAACTGAATTTCAACAGCAAGGATTCAGCACCAAATCCTTCCGGAAGTAGCCAAGTCTCTCTCTCTCTCTCTCTAGTCTCTACACACACATACACAGGAGCTCACTTGCATGTGTCCACATGCACACACACAAACAGCACGCATGCATGACACAAACAAACACCAGTGTGCACGACCACTAATTAATTCATATAACCAACACATATTTTATGCGATGTGCACTCCAGGATAGAACACATAATTAAAGTGTGCATTTACAAAAATTTTAATACTAAAGTGTGGAGGAATAATTAGTCTCAAAAATAAATGTTCATAATAAAATATGAAAGAAAGCGAAGGTTTAGGGAAATGGATCCGCAACATACCTTTGTCTTCTTGCCAATCTTGAAAACGCCCATCAGTTGCTCCTTTGAGACTAGAGTGAGAAGAGGAATTAGAGCAAATGGTATCTGAACTGACTGAAGCACGTTAAGCCATTCATTCAAGATATCCAATGTATCATCGGAAGTGTCAAAAAAGAGGGCGACGACTATAGTCGGCACAATTGCAAAACTTCTGGTAATTAATGCCCTAATCCACTTCTTCAACCGAAGATTAAGAAATCCTCCCATGATAAATTGACCAGCATAAGTGCCAGTGATTGTGCTACTCTGTCCTGCTGCTAATAACCCAATCCCCCATATATAGAGAATTGGAAATATCCCTCCATACTTCTCTTGTAGAAACTGCCCAGCATTCTCTAGACCGATAGTACCAGCTTCTTTAGTACCATAAAACCCCTTTGCGAAAACTGTTGTAACACATACATTTATTATGAAGGAGATGATAAGGGCAACAGTTGATTCTATTGAATAATAAGTCAGCGCTTCGTGAACTCGGCTTTTCTTGTTATTGTCAACCTTTCTTGATTGTACAAGAGCTGAATGTAGAAACACATTGTGTGGCATAATGACACAACCTACAACCCCTACAGCTTGTCGTATGGTTTTTGAGCCTAGTTTCGGAACAATGAGACCTGTAGAGGGAAAAATAAAGCAAGTTGTTAACATCAGAATCTACTAAACATACAATTACAACAAGATCAATCAACAACAGTAACACACCTATTAGAAGTTCCTTTCCGTTGGGCTTCGTTTCGCCAAACATCCAAGCAAATGAAACAGCCATTGTTGCAATAAGAACTGCAAAAACAGCTTCTAATTTCCTAACCCCATAGTTTTCAAGGAACAAGAAGACAAAGCTGTCAAAAGCACAGACATAAAATTATCATTTACCAGAGCAAATAAGGAGATTAGTGGCAGGGACCACAAAAAAAAGGAACAAACATCTAGAGTCCTAGACGACTGGAGAGTAACTCTTTTCTTCAAGATGGTTTTACCTTCCTAGGCAACCCAATGGCAGATAAACATGAACCTTTTACCATTTTCTTTTTTAAATAGATGTGAAGTAGTTCTAAACATAAGCTGATGAGCTTGTCTCCTGGAATTGCTTCAGTAAGTATAAAAGAACAGAAAAAGGTAAGGAAAAGGTTATATCCTTGAAGTCAAAACACAGAGAGCTCACAAATAAAAGTCCAGTACTTGGACACACTCTCATTTCAGGTTTTACAGCATGAGGGAGGATAAAAACCCTCAACCCACAAGCAAAATAAAATAAAATGATACAAACGCAATGTCTTCTAGATCCTCTAAATCTTCTTCTGTGAGAATGGTTTGTGAACATTTCAAGTAAATAACCTATAACGAGAAAGTAGAAACCAGTTCATCCCAAATCATAATTCAAGAACATACCAATATGATAAAATATCATCTAAAAAGATTCAATTTCACAAATGAATTCCTCATACCCCACAAAAACGTATGTAGAAGCCAAGAACTAGCAGAAACGGAACAACCAGGGGTGACGATGAAACTGAAACAGAACTTCAAAACAGAGAACAATAACCTTATCCTTCTGAATTTTCCCAATTCTTCTTCTTCTGATACTGGCAATTTCTAGAGACAAATTTTCTAACTAGCACACTATGGTAACAGAACAATATCCTATAAAAATCCAAACTTTTCAAAACTAGAAGAATCATAAGAGTGAACCCAACTCCACTAAGAACTTAACACTCGGTTAAACTGAA